CTAAGTAGTCTAAATTCAGCCTACACCCTCTCAAATCCATACATGAACCGTATTAAATGCAAATATATATAAAAGATACATGACATATTAGGATGAGAATGAATCTGGATTTTTAGATACATTAAGCTTCTTGGAGGACAAGATGCCTTTTCAAGCTCGAAGGGATGCAACTCTTCACTGTGAACATAGTTTGGATACACATATCAAGAAGTATCAAAGTCATCCCCAATAGAGCATTTCAAAAATGGGGAGAGAAAAGAGAAAGCAAAGGAGGTAGCTTTCCATGGCTTTTTACGTAAACCTCAGGTCCATTAGATGAGACCTAGTCAAAATAGTGTGGCCCATATTTGCAAACAACGATCCTATGCTACCCGATGCATTCGGTTCTAAAGGAACCGCCACAATGACATCTTTAATCTTTGATTATAAAATCTATCGTTGAGCTTCCACATTGTTATGGGGTTAGAGATATTCATCATACTATTTAAGTCTATTTTCTTAGGTTAGTAAAGAATTTCATAAATATAATTAGAATTTAACAAGAAAAATTGACCATCTGGACTTAACAGAGCTTTTGTTGAGTGACACCAATACTAGTTTTACTCATACATACAAAACCCCTTGCCTCGGTGATTCTAAAGCCATACCAGTTCAAAAAGAGCATTTCACTTGGATGCTAAACAACTGTACATAACAACCAGTGATTCACCAACTTTTTCAGACTACTAAGGCTACAACTTACATCCATAAATTTACCCACAATTTAGCAATTGAAAGTTTAGAAAAACCAAAACCTACAGGTAGAGTTCCATAATGAGATCAGCGTACTCACTCAAAGAAATGGATGTACTCACTCAAAGAAATGGATGCCACTGATCATTCAAAGAATTGATTACCTCTCGTGATGACAACATTCAGCCAGGCCAGAATCAAAACTTCGACAGAGCAAATTGTACGAGTTCTTCAAAATAGAAATGTCCGTTCATTAGAAACATATACAATAAAATAGACTCGAAAGCACAAAATTGAGCTCAAGCACCTGCAATGATACAACTTTTGGAAGGTGGGTATATCTTTCACCAATATGTGCAAATTTCATAACACCATACGGTGTTTCATTGCTGAGGCCAATGTATCTGATCTAAAAACACAAGAAATTCCAACTTTCTTGAAAATATGTTATTTTGTCAGATATAGAGAGAGAGAGAGAGAAAAAGAAAGATGATACTATTATTGCCTACCTTACCAGCATCAGCAGCTTTGTTGAGTGCATAAAGTTGTTCTTCTAAAGAAACTGAAGAGTACTGCCAGGATGGATTATATTCTGTTTGTCCAAACATTGGAACATACCTTTAAAGGCATACATACAGAAATAACTATTTTGTTCTCACTCACAACTCAAACAAAAATAATATAATAAAGCAGCAACATGGTATCTGGCCAATATTCATTGAAAAGAAAAAAAAACGATATAAATACTAACTTCCATAATATTCCATAGATTAAGTTAGTACATACAAACCGATCAGGCCAATGGATTTGGTAAATATCAATGAAATCCGTTTGCATCCGCTTTAAGCTGCATAGATTAGATATCAGCACATCAGAAGAGGATGATTTGTTTTCCTCACATAGGTTAGATAGAATTTATACTTTATTGTTCCAAGAGAATTTTAATAAAGCGTATTATGCCTTGAAAGATATGAATATCCGGGAACAAATACATTCTTTATCTATGAGGTTTTACAATTAATTATCCTGATATCCAAGCTTCAAAATCTTACAATTTTGACCCCATAATTTTCAAAATACTTCAAAGTAGTCTTTCTTTAGTTTTTGGTAGGCTCCGGTGATAAAAAATGACATGACATATTTAATTGATTTAATTATTTGTGTGTTGATATAGCAATATATTTTTATTAAAAATTATAATTTTTTATTGATGTGGTAAAAAATTGAAACCCAACCTAATTTCTGTTTCTTATTCCCCTTCCCCAATCACCCCCCTTCACCTTCCCTTCCCCGTATCATTTCTCGATGCAAGTTGATTATTGGTATTATCTCCTAGGTAGGAGGTGAGCCCTCCAAAGCTAGAGGGGCGTCAAATGGTGGAGAGTAGAATGAAAAGAATTTGTTGGATAGAGGGGGAGTTATCAAATGGAGGGGAGTTAGACAAAGGGAATCCATGGAAAGAAGTCCTTGGACAAAGGAAAGTCATCATATGGGGAGGTCAGAAAGAGTGTCAGTGCCAGTCTCATAATTTGGATTCTAAAAAACTCAAAAAACAAAAATGAGTTTCAGGTCAAATTGGAGTTTCTGAGTATTGATAAGTAATAAAGTAATAATAAACTTAGACTAACTCAGTATCTTCCCAACACCATCCTTGAAGCTGAACCAAGTTCTTGAATGGTAAATAACCAACAGTTATTTTTTTTTATAAGAAACCTGGGACTTGTATTACTCACAAAAAATAACCCACCGTTATTTCAAACTCTATGGTGCAAGGATTGTGCACATGATCTATTCCATTGGCTCTCTCAAGTCATTTAACAATCACTTCTCTACCAAATGGAAGAAATCACTTCTCAACAATCATTCTACCCCCTCACCAACAATTTTGTTTCAATCAAACCCTCTTTCCTTAATAAGACAAAGGCCTTCATAAACATGTTAAAGAGCTAAACTTATCTCTCCAAGTGACAATCTTGAGGGTATGACTTATTTGACCTCTCTATGTGAGACATTCTCTCTTTCTTCTGACCGTCAATCTTTTCATGATTCCTTCCAACAAGATACTCAATCTAATTCCTTATAGCCAACACCATATTTTCTTCATTAAAGACAATGTGATAATTAGCCATGGGGTTTTATTGATGGTAAGCAACAAGAGGTTACTACATTAAATAAGCTCTTTGACTTCAACGTATTGGAATAGAGGCGTTGAAACAGTTTTTCTTTATCCTAGTTTTTTTCCCTTTTTTTTATGAGAAACTTTTTTTTTTTAAAGGTTTTGATGAGAAACTATTATCAAAAGAAGGAAGGACAATATAAGGGCTCAAGAAGAGGAAATCCCTTCCCAAGCCAAACTACAAAAGAGCCTTCCAAATTCTAATCATACAAAATCATGAGGTTATAATTACAAAAGAATTCCTTGTAGTCTGAAAACCACCACGAAAAGTTATATGGTACATTACTCCATAAAATCTCCTCGGTACTGCCACTATCTCCAAAAACTCTATGGTTTCTCCTCAGTACAACAAGCGGGGTGGGAGGATTCGAACCCATGCCCTCTTGGTCAGAGACACCGCTGAGCTAACCTCATGTTGGCCTCTATGGTTACTCTCTTTGCAAAGAAGCTACAAGAAACCCTAACTGCACAATTCCACAGGACCTTGGCTTTGTTCTTAAAACTAAAAGCAAGCAGAGCATTCAACAACCGAGTCCTCAATCCAATTTGGAAGACAAATTGGGATGTCGAACATACTCCTTGAACAACCGATGCTATCCATTTGCAGCAAACTCACAGTGGAGAAAAAGGTCATCTAATGACTCCTCAGCGTTCAGGCAAAGGCTGCAAACCAAGGGGGAGAACATCCAAGAAGCAAATTTCTCAGTAATTTACATGTCGCGTTGATGCTTCCATATCAAAGAGACCACATAAAAAATTTAACTTGTTATGGAACCTAAAACGTCCAGATTTTGTACACCAGAGGAACTTCAATCTGTTATTAGATCTAGTGAAATGGAGAAAGGAGGATTTGGGGGAGAATCTGCCTGTGGAATCAATGACCCACCTAAGTCTATCATTGCCCACTCCTAATCTAAAAGATGCTATTTTTTCAGTGAAGGCAGTCCAGCTCCATAAGTCTCCTTCCCTTGGATAACAAAGACACCTCCACTTATTTGAGCTTGTATTTAAACTTCTCAATTATAGGATCCCAAGAGGACACAACATTTTGATTCCCTCGCAGAATTCTATTTGACAACGAGTTTTGATGTAACCTAAAAACTAGCAAAATCTCGCACTAATATCAAAGATACTAATAACCCTGATCACAATACACAACAATCAAGGGCATCTTGGATTTTTTATTTTTGGTCACCATCAACCGAAAACAAAGTTGTAAATTGTATTAAATATTGCCATATTTGCACAAAAATATTATAAAAAAATTAAAAAAACTCACTTCATATTTCCATTGCCGTAAGTAGCAGAATAGCATGACCATTTTAACATCACAAGGGTTAAATTATCATATTTTAAAACTAAGAAATCAAAAAGAACTATTTGTGAAACCTCAAGAACTAAAATGGTATTTCTATAGTGAAAATATGAGATTTGACATTGTTGACCTAACATCGATTGCTTCTATAATATTTTTAGCATCCAAACACTTTGGTCCGCCTCGTATCCAAGTCATTTCCCCAGATGGTCCAGCAACCTGAATGATTGTATCAAAATTTTCTCAGCATACGAGTTCAAGAAACACTCAATTTTAAGTTAGAAAGGCAAAAGTCTGTTGTCCATTCATAAAACCAAAGAAACCCAATCAAAGAAGAAAAATAATAATGTGATTTGTAGCTTGAAAAGCTAGAGACTGAATAATCCTAACCGCATTGATTTATTTAGAAAATAAATACCTTTTATTACATACTTATATTGTAACAACCCGTATTTTCTAACACGATCATTCTAATAATAATGCGGAAGCGTAAACAAATAGACACTATATCAAAGGAAAAACTTATTTATTTAATTTGATACTATGACAAAAAAAAAATTGGGACAAGTCCAACTTTGAAACAGAAACCTATACTATAATAAATCCAAAGATTGACTAACAGAACTAACTAAGTTCTCATAAGCTAAAAAAAATGGAAAATACTAAAATTTTCCAACTCCTCGTGCCAGAACGTTATTCCATGAAAAACAAATGTGCCATAGTGATCACATAGACCAAACTCAGACTCATGACAGTGGCTTTCCTTCATTTAGAAATTGCAGCCATGTACGATACAGGGCATTCTTGATCCATAAGAATCATATGAAGCAGGAACAAAAATATCTATAACTATAACTATAAGGATCACTGCCGGGCTAAAGAAGATAAAACACAAGGATTTTTTAATTCGATTAATACAGAATATGCATGACATTGATTACCGAATCTTTTTAAAATAAAACTCGAGCTTCGGGACTGATGTATGGTAATAGAAGGTGTGTCAATTTGCACTCTAAAATCTTAACTTCAAAGTAACTGTTCTTGACATCTTGTAACCTGTGCTATCTTACAAATTTCCGTAGGCCTATAGCATTCCTGAGAAGCTAAATCCACGAGGAAAGTTGACTAATAGAGTTCAAAATTTCTTGACTCGGAGAGAAAACCAAAATAATGAGAATACCACCTTCTACAGTAATTGTCAGTCAAACTGTATATATACAGAAGGTACCTATCCTTTAGAAATAGCTCGAGCTGAACTACTTCTAAGTTCTAACCAACTCCGCTCACATCAGCTACATTAATTCTCAACGTAATTAGTAGTATATTAACAGCAAAACTAACAAAGAAATCGTTACTTATCCAAAAAAAAAAAAAAACTGAAAAAGAAACAACACACCAGGTAAGGTAAAAGGTCAATATCTAACTAACTCTATGCATTTACATTGACCAAACGATGGTTATGAAGCTAAATCCAAAATTAATCTCAAGAATGGTGGAATTTTTCTGCCAATCATGAAGCGAACGGACAAAATTCTCAATTGCCTAAGTGGTATTGACCAAATAGTAAAAATATAGCGATCCGGAAGAACAAAACAAAAAAAAAAAAGCGCGTACACACATCGGACGACATGATGAGACAAACCTTCGTAGCTATAACTACACGGTCCCGAGCAATCTTCCGGTTTCTGATCCAACGGCCAAGGTATTCCTCGCTCCTCCCCTGAGTCTCAGCACGTTGAGGCACTGGGTACCTGTGCATTGAACGCGCATGGAGTACGTAAGAAAACGAACAAGCCAAAACTCAGCGTAATTCTATAGTAAATTTAGTAATGAATAGCATGGACTAGAAGAAGAGGGAGGGGCGAAAACACATTTCGGCAGAATCGAAGAAGTTGATGCCGGCATCGAAAGCTTGGTCAAGGAGGCGAAATGACTGAAATAGAGAGTTCTGCTCGCCGAAAGTCATGGTACCTGTGAAAGGTGAAGATTAATATTTAGGGCATTGCCAACTAGGGGATCGGAAATTAGGAAGCGAGAGATATATTCGAAAGGAACCCAGGTCGAACCGAAGCAGAGCCTTGAAACTTTGAGATCAGGAGCGAGATTAAAGACAGGAACGGCCATTCTCCGAGAAACAAAAAAGAACAGGGTAGAGGGCGGGATACTGGAACGTCTGCAGTGCAGCTGTGAGACAATATGTAACCCATGTAGATAACCTTTCTTCCCACCCATATTTTCCTCGCAAATAATTGTTCAAGGCGTGCTGGGAGTTATTTTTACACCGCAAAAAATCACTTTGGTTAATGTCAAAATTACTCTCTTTCTCATGTTTGTGCGAACTAAAAAGTAAATCACTTTATTTTTTCTTTCTTCTTTATAAAAAAAAAGTATTCATTTAAGCTCATCAAAGTCCTGAAGATAACATATCTCAGACTACATGAATGAGCCAAACAAGAAAATTAGATAGCCACACCGAACACAAATTAGATGAAAATGTGAAAGAAACTGCTTTGTATACAGTCTTATTTGAAAATCCACCGGTATGAACAAACTGAATGTTGGTAAAGCTCTTGGCTAAATTTCAGATGTCATCTACCCAAAATCAAAACAAAATTCAGTAACTTCGTTGATTTGATTAACCAGTTGAAGAGAGTTTGACTCAAATTACACCAACCAAAGGTTTAATCTAACAGCTATTCGAAGGCCTTCAAGAAAGGCGGGAGATTCAACTCTCAATGGATCGTGGTACATTTCGACACTCTGGGACATTGCAGCGATAATCTGACCATTATCATTTTTATCAACCACTCCACTGCTTATTCTGATGATTGAGCTCTTGCAAGTAGCGTATGCATTAAAACTTGATCTACCCGCTGTTGGAGTATGCCACGTGATTTCAAAATCCTTGCCCCTATTGTTGTGATGTGGCTGTAAAGAGCAATTACCCAACTGGACAACAAAACATGCATTTATCTCTCTTTCACGTAAGTTATAATCCATTCGCTTTTGCTATTGACACAATAAATTTGATTGTTGACTCGAATCGTGTTTTGATCATTTCAAATCGTCAAAGCAATAACACAAACAAGGTCAAATTCTTTTGCAGATAATAAGTCCATCATATGTAACAATCTCTTGAACCGAGTGGCGAAAATCTCAAGGAGAAAATAACTTGAGGTAAAAGAATTTCCCACACTTTCTTTTGCCCTTTTGCACTTAAACAACAAGTGATATGTAGTTTCTATATGCTTTTCACACATGTAGTACATAGAATTCGCATCAATCCCCTTATTAATTAAGTTCCTCATCGTTCGCACACAGTTACGGTATATTATCCAAACAAAATTATTTATCTGGGGGAATTTTCAATTTCCACACAAACTTCCACCAACTTTCATTCATGTTGTGGGGATTGGAATATCTGAGACTCATGGCTAGTCTGTAGCCACTTTTAACAATACAGGAATTACTTCCGTCAAAATGTCGTATCCAAGTATTTGGTTCCTCAGTCCAACTGATAGGTGGAGAGCTTTAAATTTATTTTTAAGTATTATATGTCGAAAAAATCAAATATATTTAAATCTAATTTTTTTCAAAATCACTTATTTTACCATCACTTCCAAACATACTCTAAATTATTTCAATTATGTTTAGATTGGCCGAGGTAGATAACCTTTGGAGAAAAAGTTAAGACCCAATATTTTAATATGAAGAAGTAATCCCAACTATATAATCATACAAAATAAAACAATTTAATCGAATCATCTTTAAAAAAATATTAAAACTTGCAAATGTCATATTTATAGTAAAAACAAAACCTAAAAAAACCTTGCAAATGTCGGATTCATATATCTATATCTATATCTATAGTATATATAAAAGGGATAATGAGGAGAAACTTTTTCTCCCTATTTTGCCCTTTTAATTTCAACATTCCTAGATATTTTGAGGGCAATTTTGTCTTTTAAATATAAAATTTTCTCTCTCACTCCCTCATTTCTCTCCCTCTCACGCCACTTTCTTTTTTTTTTCATTTCTTTTAAAATATTTAATCTCCATCGTTACAAATTTTACATTTCTCAAATTAATTTTCTCTTTCTAATAAACTCTCCCTCTTAAAGGTTAGAATATAAATAATTAGAATAGGGAGGGTTTTGTCTCTTTATTTCTATGTTAAAAAGTTATAACTTATTTTGAATTATAAATAATAAGAATTTCAGAAGTTTCGTAACTTTTTATTTTCTACAACTATATAAAGAATTTTTTCTTACTCTTTCTCCCAACATTTTCTTCATCAAAACTTGAGTTTCTTTTCTCTTTTGGTATGTAAATTTTCTCTTTTAGTCAATCTCTTGTATTTTCTTATATTTAGTTAGATTGTTTGATTGAATATTCAACTTTTTTAGTTTTTTTTCCAAACGACTCAATCAACTAGAAAAAGGAAAGTGAAAATGAGTGATGAGATCGAATCACCTTGGACGGATCCACTTTAGGATGACACTTGGTAACCGTGAGGACTCTCTCAATGACCTCCTCCTTGGTAAGGTGATCATCGTGTGATGAAAATAACCGGAGCAATCCATCGGAACATGATTGCGGTTGGCATTCCCGGCGAGCTAGGGCAAGGAATTGGACCGGAACTCAAACATGGCAAAGAATGGTTGCCCTGAACGCATCTCTATCTCTCACTTTTTTTTGTTGTCATTTTATTTTTCAATGACTCAAATAAGAAATTGAAACAAAGTTGTATTTMCTTTTATKTATTGRTATGTTTAGGGRAAAAAAAA